AAATGAAAACGCAATGTATCCTCAATCCACAGAACCCTGTGAGCCTATGATACAAACGCATAGTATTTCTTGAAATGAGAGGTATCCCGTTTCAGGAGCTCGACGGATTGAACAATTGGCTAGGAACTCACGATATTTCCGATTGCGACTCAAGCAAATGGGATTCATCGTCTACGGCAGTGACGACAGCCCTGTAGTGCCTGTAGTGTTTTACTATCCCACTACATGCGGGTGAGTTTCGACTAACCTACCTATGCTTGCATCTTCATGTTGTCATTTGGTCTTAAAAATGTCCTCCGAGGAACCTCTTCGTGACGAACTTCGATTACGGGGTTTACTTATGCAGCAGTATGGAGGCTGCCCCCGAGAGAAGTGCCTACGGCAAAAATTTCTGGGAACAAATGAGCAAAGGGACAAATGTTCACTTGATCCACAGTGCTTGGGATTCTCCCACATTTGACTCATAGAGAAACGCGACGCGTTCAACGGGATTTTCCTTTATTTCTTCGTATCTCTTTCGCCTCATTTCATTTCAGTTTTTGCCTACTAAAATAGGCAGTGTGAAAATTCAAACGACGTTCTGAATGGACCGTGGAAGACCGAAGAACCCTGAAAAACACAATTCTCGAAGAAAGCGGGAATAGAAATTCTAGAGGATTTTGTGCTCGAACTTGTTCTGAAATTTTTCTGGAAAATGATTTCTTATTTTTTTACCGCAGTAGTTCACGCACTATGCATGTTATCGCAAGAATACTGCTTTATAGGCAATGTTCAGACCACAGGCGCGACGGCAGGCGGCGCCTCCACCTCACATATTTCTTACAGAATGAATGAGTCTCTTACCTCATCTCTCCCATGCCTAACCTACTTGTTGTTCTGGAGAAAGAGCTTGTTAAATTCGTACCAGACTCACCTGACGGCGATCCGATCAATCAGGATAAATTTCTGTAGATTTTCCATCTTTCAGGTTCTACGGAAGAGAAATGTTAGCACGCGGAGTAGGTGTTGTCGTGGTCTCTTTCCCGGGAACCGATATGACTGAATCACGATGTCGGTTCTGCATTTCAGCATCTCATACTAAAGAAATGCTCGATAAGGTAAGTCTTGCTTGGGTACTTTCTGAGGAAAATACATAACGTCGAAGTGGGGACAATATTGTATACCATGGCCAATCACATTACCACTGGCGTTGGTTTGGGCAGCCTGTTTTTGCAGTAACTACCGTTGCCACTCTCTCATCACGCTGAAGACTACGGGCATGGGATTTGTGACAGCCTAGATCTAGTGAGCGCCAGTCCACACCAGTCACGCCTCTCCCAAAACGGTCCAGCAGCCTCTTGGGACGCCAGTTCTCTCGTCGTCATTGTATGGAGAAGTCGGGTCTGCCATCTTGTGGTCCTGTTTTGTGCTTCCCTCTTCTCCGTCCGAAAAGGTTGCGCAAATGAGAAAGGCACGATGGTAGCACGGGCTTGGCCCATATGGCGAGCGTGGGATGTGTTTTACAGATCGGTCCAAAGTCCATGCTGACTACTTATGCAAATGAAGGGGTAATAGGAGAACCAAATAGGAGTAAAGAGCAACAAAATACTATATAAACCCTTTAATAAGTGATAGCCCTACCATTATCGGAGGTCTACCGGTGCATAATTTACTTATGCATTCCACTAGTTAGTCTCATATGAATGAACCTCCGATTCCTAACAGCTTCGACGCAAACTGGCCAGCATCGGTGAGCGCGAAACCACGAGCCAGGCGGGTCTTGTCAGGGATTCCAGATCAGGGTGTTTTCCTTCAACCAATGAATTCCATGGTCAGACGCAGTGGTATGGTGGCTTGCATGTACTGACCCAAACGAACTCGAAGTCGAAAAAGAGACAGAAAAGAAAGATAAAAGAGACAGATTTTAGGTACTAGATGCCGTCAATGAAGTGGGCGACTTATCCTCATCGAAGTATTCGAAACGAGCACATCTGTACAAAAACATGAAGATTCGAGTGGTAGAAATCAGCCTGAAGTACGTGAGTGTCATAGCTGAAGCAGTTTGAAATACATATTATACCTAGTAGCTCTGTCAATTCACGCCATCATTGAATGTTTAGTTGATAACGTCTCAATCAGTCGTTAAAGACACACCCCGCGATCAAGTGGTCCTCAAAATGACTTCGTGCTTTTTGGAACCCTCTACGCCTTGACGAAGATGATACCACTTTCATCCCTCAATATGGCGCGATAAGGAAGTTATAGCAATTTCCACAAGGCTCACTAGGCTCGCTGACACGGTGAGTGGACGAGGCGTCCGGTCCCGAGCTGCTTCCGTCCCTTTAAAGTATCCTATTTCGAAAGTCGGGACGCAATTGCGGCTGCCGCATCGATTTCTGGCAGCCACGTCCGGCACACTCGTCCAGGCCCCGCCCCCACTGCTAAAGGGAGGTCTGTGTTCAAGGGTGTTCGGCCGAGGTCTATTTTTTGGGCTTTTTTTTTTTGCGCACTGGGGGGAGGGGGTTTAAAAATGGGCCACTGCTCTGATGACACCAAGTTACCCGAACACTTGATCGGCGAGGATATGTGTCTTGAAGATATAGGAAAAGGTTGGAATTGAAGCCCGTATGGCGCGTGCCTTTGGCATATTAGGTCACTGATTCGACTTTAAGAGAAAAATAGCTAGTGGTTGAAATAGCAACTATCCCTGTGCACTTATTCCAACCCCATGACTGCCCCGATTCATTATATCAGCTGCACAGTCAGGGCTGGGGCGCACTGTGATGGAAGGCTTTTCGCTCAGGACACACGAATCCTGTGAGGAGAGGAGCGTACTTCCCTAGAAGCTTTAATGACAACTTTTGGGTCCCCGAGAGCACGATTTGGCGAAAGGAAAGCAAGAGTCAGCGCACCTCCTACTTGAGAACAAGTTTCGAAATTTTTCGATACTCAGGAATCACACGAACTTTTGAAAAAACAATATCTGTTATGGGCGTGCTCCCCCATAATGAGAGAGGTTTTTTGCACAGAGTACCCTGAGTCGAGCTTCATCTAGTTATAGAGTCTTCTCTTCATCTAGGCGTCTTTGCCTATGTATATCCTGACCTATCCAGACCAACAACACATTTCTGTGGTTTACACATAGTTAGACTGCAAGTTTTTTTTCAGTATCAGACGAGATAAGCCAAATTCATTAGACGGGGAGGAATGTGCCCGCCCCTCCTAACGAAATTATAGAATTTAGTTCCATAGAATTTCCGTCAAGTTCATAGAATTCATCACATTTTCAGGACAATTTGATAACTGCGACAGTGGCCCGATCGTTGTAAATCTGGTCAACCAATCCGAACTTCTGATCGGTCGCGTCGTAAAGCACACGCAGCGGACTACGCTGTCTCCCTCAACCGTGTGGACTGCCTACTTATTGCTCGTGCTCAAGTCATTTTATACCTCTTGTCCTACTGATCTCTCTCGTTCCCAAATAAAGCAGCTCACAGAATCACAGTGTTTAATGAGAAAATCATAGCTGTTAATGTTTCCTTGTGTAGTCCGTGTGTTCACCTATAAGAGAAAAAGTAAATTAGAGCTAGCATAATATAGTTATTTACCTATAGTTAACTGCACTCGAATCCACCCTTATACACATCAACAACTCTACCAGACGTAGTGTCCAAATACCGAGTGAATCATGCAGAACGAATAAATAGTTTTGGACAGGAGTAATGAATATACAGAAACCCAAATCTTCATTCACTCGGGTGGACTGATAATATTAGGTTGTCCGGAAAGTTCTCAGCGTTTTGTGTTACTATTTTTTGTACATTCATTGCTGATTAAAAACTCATTCTCCATCCTGAAGAGAATTTTTTGCGCTATCTGATGGTATAATTGCCGTTTCACCATTGCTTGATAAACCCCCTTCCCAAGACTTTTTGAAGCATGTCAAGAAGAGCCACCTGACGAGGATTTGAAGGCGTTTGTGGAGGCTGACCCATCCCAAACAGTTCGAGAGATTGCAGAAAAGCTAGGCGTTGGCAAATCCACTGTTGCGGATGGTCTGAAACGCATTGGGAAGGTGAAAAAACTCGGTGGGTGCCCCACAATTTGAGTGACCGGCAGAAATTGGCACGTCTCGAGGTTTCTTCTTCACTGCTTTTGCGCAACAGAAACGACCCGTTTTTGGACCGAATTGTGATGAAAAGTGGATCATGTATGATAACAGGAGACGTTCCGGACAGTGGTTGGATGCCGACGAACCACCGAGGCAATTTCCAAAGCCGAATCCTCACGAAAAAAAATTAT